AACGAAGAGGGGATTTTGGGCCAGCCCACGTTGTGCGCAGTAAACAAGGCCCATGGCGCACATTGGACGGCGTACTGAAGCTTAAGTAAGGAACGAATCGAGGTTGTTTATCTTGTAACATTTTCGTTATCGTTTATATATTATCAAAAAACTATGTATATTTTCCTATTAATTTATTTTCTTTTTCCAATTCCATCCACTGCGAATAATAAACTTATAAGCACATACAAACAAATTGGTTTATATATTTGGAAACTACATTAAATTACCAACAAATGTCTGTATGAGTTTTTGTTTTCTCGGCCTTTTGGCTAACATAGAAATGTCCTGATGGTCGTGATCTACTGGTACTAAGAACTTAATGGATGTTTTTCTAGCTGTCAAATTATTTAAATATTTTACAATATAAATTTTTATTTGTTTTAAATTGCTACATTTTAAAATAAATAAAAGGCACTTTAAAATTATGAGAAAAGGTCTCCTCGTAAGATAGCGCATAACTCAAGTTTGCGCGCATTTCACTTGTGTGCACGAGAAAAGTGTGCGTATTGATCGAAGAAATAATTGAAATATATTAATCGATTAAATAATTAAATAATAATCCTCTTTATGTTGCTTAACGAAAATCGTTTCTTCTAGAAAAATTAATAAAATTTTATAAACTTTTACTAATTGATGTAATTATTCCGATTTGAGACTATAATAAAAGTTAATACAAGTTTATTGAAATTTATAAAATTTTATAAGCGTTAATAACATTTTAAAGTTTTTTTCTATGTAAATTTTTAATAACTACTATAAACTTTAATTGACTTTTATTACAGTGTCAAATTTGAATATTTATGTCAACTAATAAAAGTTGCTAAAAGTTTATAAAAGTTTTCGAAAGTTAATAGCATTTTATACCAAAAGATTATTTCCGGTATGGATCAAAATGAGACAGTAATATCGAAAACTTTTCAATTAAACATTCATTTATCACAATTTGCAAATAACACGTCATTGTATGCGCTATATACACGTACAATGCACTCGTGTGTATAATTTAAAAGCGTTGAGTAATCAATTAATTTGTCAAGTTCATTATCGAGAGAGCTCAGGTTTCAAGAAAACACGTGTTTTGATAAATGGTTCAACATAATGAGTGGTCGAAGATTTTTATGCACCCGATATTCGAGATGGATGTCAAGCAGGTAACTAATTGCTTCATTCTTAGAATCGTTTGATGAAAATAATACATTTGATCACTCTTGTTTCGAATCGGACACTCGAGCGTGTCAGTCGTGTTTTAATATCCTTAATCTGAAATGCTTCAAAAATAATTAATGATGGTTTTAAAAGTGAATTAATTTTTGATATTTGATCTACTGTGTTACGTCTTTATACCTATGTGTTATTGAAATCCTATTGTTCAGATAATATATGGTACCCAAACTTTCAATCGTGAATAATTTAAAACAAAAATTATACTACATGTAGGGGTTTATGTTACACGAAAAATTCAGAGCACAATGGAGCATCCAACACTTGCCATTATGTTTTGTAAAACAAAAGAAAGTTATTGGAAAATTTTCTCGAGATAAAATTGTGGAATTCCTGAGGAAACAATCAATCACCTTTTTATCCCATATCGTTCGTTAATTCGATATCTATAAAAATCGGCAGGCTTCAAAAAGTCAACTAATTGACTTCCAAGCACGTAGCAATAGCAGGAATACACTCCCCTCTTTTGATTTAAGAGATTTAGAATTTTTAATTTTTCAGCCTTATTCATAACTTAACTATTTTTTATTGGAGTTTTAGACATTTTCGTCTTGAGCCACATATAACGTGGACTTTTCGATTTTTTTCTCGTCGATTTTTTTTTTGTTGCTTACTTAGATAGAAGGCGCTAGCTTGCCGCCCGTTGAGGTGCCTTTTTTTTAACACGACCTCCATCAAACGCTGCTAGGCGATAAATAATTCGATATTTTGGTCTGAAAAAATTTGTAAATATAGTTGAATACATAATTTATAAGTACCAAAAAAATTTGACTGCATTATTCACTTCCTTCCACGAAAAAAAAATCACGAAAAACATGTCATTTTTGAGGCGCTAGATGAGAGCCTCCCCTTAAGACACTATAGTGTCATATCAATAAAAGACCACAGTGAACACTAATTCGGTGCAAAATTTTTCAGTCCTATGCCTATAATACAGAATTAACATTAAAGGAGAAAAAATAGAAAAGAAACAACTTACTTTTTATGTTTTGCGACTCGAAAAATTGAAACTGTACCCGTCGTCGGCGAGGGAAGATGTGTTGAGAGGCGCAATTGAACTCGTCGTCAATACGGTGAGGGAGTTTTGTTCGATCTAATGCTCCTCAATGGGGATGGTCTACGTTGAGCACGAGACTAAACCGTACCATCTAAAGCCATCTAAATATACCATCTAAACCCTCTACAATTGGGGGCAAATATTGTTACAATGAGCATGCGCTGGAA